GTGTTTTGATCAAATCCATGCCTACTCCCTCCCCTCCAACTCCTCCCATATCTCCTCATCATTTTTTTCCTGACAACTTCTTGTACTCTTTCTTTCTTTTTTTATGCGGCCTTTTGCTACTCTAACATTACTCCCTCTGAAAAGGTAACCCTAAAATCTTTAAGGGATTAGATAATCAGACGATGATGTAAGAATAGGAGGTAGGACTTCGCTAGGCACTTAGGATAAAAAGACCCCAAAGAAAAGTAGCCAGCTTCTTGGCTAAAAGGTAAAATGTCCTTGGGCCTCTTAGCAATATTTCTTCTGGTAATAATTTCTTATTTTTATTTTATGTGTATGTGTGTATTGCCTGCATGTAGGTGAGTTCACCTGTGTTGTGCAATGCCCACAGAGGGCAGAGAGGCCATCGGATCCCCTGGGACTGGAGTTACAGATAGTTGGGTGCTGCCATGTGGGTGCTGGGATTCGAACCCAGGTCTTCTGCAAGAACAACCAGTGTTCTTAACCACTGAGCCATCTCTCCAGCCCCAAAATTTAAAAAAAAATTTAAAGCTGGGCTGGAGAGATGGCTCAATGGTTAAGAGCACTGACTGCTCTTGCAGAGGACCTGGGTTCAATTCCCAGCACCCACGTGGCGGCTATAAACTGTCCTTAACTCCAGTTCCAGGGGAATCCGAAGTCCTCTTCTGACCTCCGCGTCATTGCACCACATGGGTGTGCTCACATACATGCAGGCAATACATTCGTACACATAAAATAAAAATAATAGATAAAATATATTTTTAAAAAATTTTAAAGCTAGAACCAAGATAGGAAACATACAGGACAGGTGTGCTTATATATTGTATCACAGACAACAGAGGAGGTTGTGAAAAGGGCTGCAGGCATGCTTACCTTTGCAAGGGTCTGTGATTTGTCTTTCATGGGGCATGTGTCCCCTGAGGGAGCAGCAGGGGTGTTGGAAAGAGCATAGGCTGAGGAGGATTATAGGTAAGGTTCAAGTCCCTTAGCCTACCTGCTTACTAACTATATGACCTTGGGTGAGTAATTTACCCTTTCTGTGCCTCAGTTTCCTCATCTGTAATCTGAGAACAGTCATGTCCACTGTAATAGAGTGGCTGTGAACCTCAGGAGATGAACCTCCACTTGGCACATTGCAGGTACTGGACAAATAGTCCCTATTGCTCTTTACAGCCCCTTCAGAATAGTAAACAAACTTAGTAAGAGTGTGCTTTTGTGGGTTTGCCTTCATTTTTCAAATTCAGGGGTGGGCAGAATCAAGAAGATGGATTGTTCATGAAGTAGGGAAGATGAACGCTGGCTCTCCTGTCGCTGACTTGCAGAAATTAGGAAGTACCTACTCCTCCTAAAAGAAAAAAGTAAATTTTTCAGAGTAGCTCTTGGCCCTATGGGAAAGTGCTAGGGAGAAACTGGAGGTCTCTTTAAACGGAGCCCTGCAGGCTCATAAATGAGCTTCCTCTAGTCTCCAGAAAAAGAGGAAGAGGGTGGAAAATTGCAGGGTGAACTCTCTTTGGCCCATTGCAGGTGAATGAAGCCGCCTTTGAGATGGAAGGTGGCCCTGAGCCCCAGCAAGCGTGCCAGCTCAGCTCTGAGCCTGCTGTGCAGGGACCAAATTAGGAAACCAACAGAGAGAGAAGAACTTGGGAAGGCACAGAGTGTTTCCTCACTTACGAAGAGCAAAACTAAACCAGCCAAGTGTTATACCATACAATGCATCCTTTTTCTAAAGTATCAGAGAGGCAAAAAATGAGAAATTGCAGAGGGCAGTCATAAATCCCTCAGACCTGGTCAGGAAATGCAGTTCTGCCACTTCCCAACTGGTTGGCCATTGGGGGTGGTGCTCACATAAGCTCCTTGTTCCTTAAAACCTCCCGCTGTGTTGCCTGGCTGGCTCAGGCTCTCTAGAAATAGGAAATAGGGAGGACCTTCCCTGGGTGGCGTGGCAAGGTTACATGGCTGCCCAGGGTGAGGAGAGCATTAGAGATGATGTATTATGTGGAGGTGGGGGAGATGACATGAACTCTGGAAATCCCTCATCTAGAAGTATTTTAACAAGCAAGGAGGGCCCAGTGCCACAACCTGAGCTGGTTGCAGAAACAACAGCCCCTGAGAACCAGCAGCTGCTAAGTTTGGAGGCTATGGGAGGAAGTGTCTGGAGTCTGAAAAGGGCGCTTGAGATCCTTGGGAGGAGGAGGGCAGTGAAGGTAGAGGTACAGGTTAGGCAGCTAACAGCCATCAGATTCAAATATTTTCAGCTCGTGGATTGAGGCTTAGTGGGTTGTGCAATAGGACACTTAAAAGAAAAATTGGAATAGACCATAAGAGGACCAGATGGAAAATACTGATTCATTACCACCTATGGGAGGGGTGAGCCTGTGACAGTGAGTAGGTCTTTTGGTTGCATGTGTATCTTAGACCATGGATGGAGTCAGAGAGCTTAAACACCCAGCCGAGCAGACTGAGTAGGGCTGTAACGTCGCCTGCTTTTCCTCTAACCACTGCTTTTCTGTGATGAAGAATCAGGCCCAGAGACAAAGGGCAGGGGTATTAATGTCCTCTCTTTGGATTCCAGAGGTTCTTTGGTATCACATGCAAAGTTGTCATGAGATGATGTGTGATTGGTATGTGCATACACACACATATACACACAGTAATTGTGATACATACATACAACACATATAATCACTGCTACTAAGCTTTGACAACTAGTCAAGCACTGCTCAGTCCTCCAGGCAGCCCTATGATGGAGATACCATTGTCCACATTTTACATAAGAGGGAACTGAGGCCTAGTTATGACTTCTAAGGACTGGAGCAAGCTGCCCTGCCTCTGTAGAGAGCTGACATGGGAGTCAGGAGCTGGCTCTGAGCCTAGATGGGGCTCCAGTATTTCAGAGCCAAGGTGGTAAAGTAGAATTCTTGGACTTTAGGGTTCCCATACCTGCTTAGGTGATAGAGCCTCATAAAGTGTTCTTTTTCAATTTAGTTTTAGTTTTTGCTGTGGCAGCATTCTCCTCTGCTAGCTAGAGTATCCATGTCTTCCCTTTGTAATGTTTTCCCTTTATAATCACTGCAGCAATTCCACTTGCAGAAAGCCTGTTTTGTGGGTGGCAGTAGAACTCAAAATGCTGTTGGCCCTGTAGGAACATGGTGTGTTCATGAGTCTCCTGAATTTTCTCTTTTCTTCTTCTCCTCTTTCTTCTTCCTCCTCCTCCTCCTCCTCCTCTTCCTCTTCTTCCTTTCTCTCCCTCCCTCCCTCTCTCCCTCTCTCCCTCTCTCCCTCCCTCCCTCCCTCCTTCCCTGTACAATGGATACTCTGTTCCTTCAGGGTTTGGGTTCTTCTGTTTTTTTTTTTTTTTTTTTTTCTTTTTCTTTTTTGTTCATCGTGTCCAAACTGGGGGCTCATCCCAGTTATCTCTCCATGGTTATTAACTTCTGTCTCAAGGCCTCAGTTCCAAACTCCAGAAAGAGATAAAACCTATGCACCTTCCCCAGATGTGGCCAATGGTCAAAGATGCTCTACTCCTCCCAATCAGGGACAGAGGTAGGGTCAGGCAGCACTGACTTTGCCAGAAGCCAACATGAGTCTGAATCTAGCCTCCACTGGTGACTCCCTGTGTGATCCTCTCAAAAGAGGAGATAACTATGGTTGGGGCATGGATGTCTAGTGGCACTGGGCAGGAATAGGGGGAGGGTTGAAGGAAGCAACCCTGGCTTCTTTGGGAGCTGATGTCCTGAATGACACAAACACCGGCATGCTGTCATGCCAGACACAAGCAGGTTGGGGGCAGGCAGGTGAGATTGGTGGAGACACATGAGTGAGAATGGGTACAGCCTTAGCCCCCATTCCTGAACCCCAGCTGGCTTGACTGCAGCAAAAGGTGCAGAGTGTCCTAAGGGCTGCTTCATGTGCCTTCTTGTGTTTCATGTTGTGTGTGATGGTATGTGCCCATATGACCTGCACCAGTTGGTCCTTTTCCTACTGGAACAGCCCCCCCTGCTCCCAGGACAAAAACAGCCTAGGGCCTTTTTCCTCTGAAAGTTCAAACTCCCTGCCCAGGGAGGGAGGGAGGGTGAGCGCTCCAGACTAGCCTGTGTGAGAGCCTGCCTGCTCTGTAGGGCTGGCTATGTCCAGCAAGGTGCATTTCCCAAGGCCTACCCCAACTCCCCTTTGTCTACTGAGCAGGCCCTACAGAGACTACATGAGGAAGGAGCCACACACGCTGGCCTTGTCTTGGGTTCATGCTCTCTATACAGCAATCTTTGGGGCAATGGGCCTCCCAGACAAGGGAAGTGTCTCTGTGGGAGTGCTGGCACCTCTGACCTTGAGCACTAGGTCCTTGGAGGGGGAACCAGTCCAGGGAGTCACTTGCTGGTAGAATAAACAGCTGGTTCTTCCACTTAGTAGTTGTATGGTCTGAACAAGCCACCTGGCCTCTGGTCATGCTACCCATGTGTGACGAATTGTTTTGTCTGCACTTGCTGCTGATAGTGTCCTAGGCTGATGACCGTGCTCAGAACAACAAAGCCCTCCCCAGTGACCTCTGCTTTTCCTCTTTGCAGCTGGAAGAGGCGGAGCACTTTGCCATGGTGGTGATTGGCCTTGGCGAGGAAGCAGGAGAGTTCCTGCCCAAAGGCTACCTGGCCCTGGGTCTCACCTATAGTCTGCAGGCCACCGATGGTGAGCACTCAGCCCTCAGAGGCCTCTATTTGGGGGTGACTCAGGCTTTCCAATTGCCTCTGAGGCATCTTTTTCCGACTAGTGACCCCTCTCTGCTACTCCCCACAGATGCTAACACTTCCCTGGGATAAGTACATGCATACATACACCCCACCACACACATGCATACACGTCCCCCAGTTCCATTTCCACTCTTTCTCGGACTGCCACCAACATGCCGTCCCTTCTCATGGATCCAGGTCTGTCACTATGTAGGCCCTGTCTCAGCTCCAGCCTCACCCAGGCTGCCCTCCTCTGTGCAGTGCTTGGTATTGCCTGTCTGCAGTGCCATCAACCCTCCAACTCACGGTGGCTTCCTTCTGTTTCTCACAGGCCTGTCTTTACCCTTAGCACTGCAGTAATCTTTTGGGGACATTGAAATCCATACTTAACACATGACACAGTACCCAGTACATGCAGGTGCTTCATAAGTTTGGGTTCCTGCTCTGGGTATGGTGTTTGGTTCCCATACCTGCCAGTTCTGCCTCCCACATTGAGCAGAGAAACACTGACTTTTATGTCCTTGAAGTCTAGGGGGAAGGGAGTGATGGCCCCTACCCAGCCTTTGCCCATGTCCCCCTGTGTCAGCCCTGTGTATGTGGCCTCAGGGACCCTTGAAGCCATATATGACAGTCTGGTAGTAGCTGTCTCCTGCTCCTCATGCCATGAGTCATGGGGTCTTGAGTCATCACCATCTGTGCTTGAGCTAGTGAGGACCCAATTCCTGGGTCACAGTCTACTTTCATCAAAGCAGTCTTCCATGACTTGAACCCTGTTATTGGACCTTGAGATTGGCAGACAGGGTCCTAATGGGCTGCTTCCTGCAGTATTCCTGTGCCCTGGGAATGGGCCAAGGAGGGGGGTTGGTTCCTCTTCAGTAACCCCTCAATCCATCCTATCTCCTGCAGCCACCCTGAAGTCCAAACAAGATGAATTGCACCGCAAGGCACTGCAGACGCTGGAAAGGTGAGGAGGCTTCCGCCCACTGCAGAGCCCCTCTTGCCTGGATGGCACAGGTGGCACCTTCACATGCTTTTCTTCACGGGGTCCTCTGATGGAATGGAGGGTCCCATCATTAAGCTTCACCATCTGCTAAATGGAGGTTTCTAGCTCCCTTTTATGGATGAGGAAACCAAAGTGCTAAGAGGTCACCCAGCAAACACGGGCAGGTTGCTGAGGCAGGCAACCTTGCCTTCAGTGCTGGCCTTCAACACTGGAGAGCCCTGTGGTCGGCTAGGAACTGATTTACAGCATCTGTAACCTTGAGCTCAATATTGCTCTTATACTTACATTATAGAGAGCAGGAAAAGCATTGTGCAAGGTGTTCTACAGGTAGCAGGGAGCTCAGAAGTGGTGTTGGCCACCCTCTAGGCTCTCTCTGACCACCCCTCGGCTGCAAGAACCTCCCATCCTCAGCTTTACAGAGATTTCCTGGGGTCAGGAAGGGAAGAAGGCAATGAAGCGCCTCCCTCAGGCCCAACCTTGTGTAGCCCCTCTTTATTGTAGGCCTCCAGAGCCTCTGAACCTCTCTCCTCTCTTTCCCTTTCCTGGCCTGGCCCATGGGGCCTCCTCTGAGCCCCCACTTTCTTGACCTCTCCCCTGCACTGATGTGACAGAAGCATGTTACTAAAGAGAGCCTGACAAGGACTGCTGGTACCACATTTATTGGAGTATGTGGAATTTCTGGTCAGGATATTCTGACACTGGCTAACACGTGGAACATCCCCCCCTGCCTTTCCCCACCAGCATTTAATTCCAATTCAGATTGGCAATTCACAGGCCCTGCATCCTCAGGACAGTGTTCCTTTCTTTTAGTAGGAAAGCCATAGCCAGGCTGACAGATGCTCAGGGGGAAACAGCCAGGCCTGCCATACACAGATATGCACACTTTTCCCCCTACCTCTAATCCTGTCCTCCTTTGTGGTCTGTCTCTTCAGAGTTGCTGAACCTCAGCTTATGCCTACCCTCCTTGAGCCACTGTCCCCTCCCCTGGGCTGCTTGTGGACCTCTGAGCCATCATCTCTCGTCTGGGCAGAACCTCCCACCCTATCGCCCCATGGCACATAGCACACAAGGCTAGCATGCTGGAGACGTGGGCCACACGATGGCTGCTCAATTGACTGATTTGTGACTCCCTCTCTCCATGCAGAGCTCAGGAACTGGCACCCGACGACCCCCAGATCATCCTCTATGTCTCCCTGCAACTGGCCCTCGTCCGACAGGTGGGTTGTCACAGTCCTAGTCCTCAGATTGGGGCATCTGACCTCCTCCTTGCAACTCTGCTTACCAGCTATGTAACCCTTTACAAGAGATTTGTCGGGTCTGAGTGTCTTTATCTTTCATGTTAGCATCATTGTGCCCTTCCTCAGAGGGGCCTAGTGAAGATGCAGTCACTGTGGATACACCTCAGCCTACCTAGGGCACACAGGAAAGGACTATTCTCTGCCCTTACTTTCCTTAGAACATTGTAGTCTCCTGAGAAGTGGATAAGTGACCATACCTACTCCCTTCTGACCTTGGGGAAGAGTGATTGGGACCTATGACTACTTCTGGGTGGGCTTCTGTGTAACCCAAAGCTCCTCTGACCCTGAAGACATCACTCTCAGACCTGGACCTTGGGGGTTCAATAAGGCCCTTCTCTCTTCTCCCTATACTACCTTTGCCCCAGGATGACAACCACCACTATCCACAGCTCTCCAGGCAGACCATGTTTGCCCCACACTGAGCAGTGAACTCAGTGCCAGGGGACCCTGACTGTCATAGTACTCCGCAACTCCATGCCTTTTGGGGTCTCTTGATCTCATGTACCCTGTAGTACTCAGACTGGGGCTCTGAGCATCTCTGGTGGCCTTGACCCAGTTCATGCTGACTCTAAATCCCCTGACTGCCTAGGGACTGTAGATGACCCAGGGCCCCAGCGTAGCTCTCCTGTCATTAGGAAACAGGCTGAGCATCAGGCTGCTGGGGGGCGGGGTGGGGGGAGCTTCATAAGCCCTGTCTGCACCCAGGCATGGTGGTATACACCTGCATTCCCAATCCTGGGTAGGCTGAGGCAGGAAGATCCTCTAAGTTTGAGAAAAGCCTAGGCCTCAGAATGAGTTCCAGGCCAGCATGGAATATATAACAAGATACTGTCTCAAGAAACCAAACCACAGGAAAAAAGAGAAGTCCACATTCATCCACAGACAATGAGAGGTAACCTAGCTACTTGGGTACTGCCTCATCATCCTCTTAAACTTCTGATGCATGGACAGCATGGCTCCATGTCATACCTGAGAAACCCAGGCTTTCCTGAATTAAGTACCTAAGAACTGGTAGAGCCAGGGGCCTTTGATCTAAAGTCCACCCTGCCTCAATTAAGAAGCTCCTGGCCCACTTGGAGATAGGGTCCTGGGCATCTTGATCCCAGCTAGGAGTCTAGTCTTACTATCACATCTGACCTTTTGTCAATTCAGCCAGCTGTTCCTCCTGATCTCAGGGCAATGGGGCTCTGCCTTCTGCCCTCATCACCCTCCCTTGGAGCCCACATTGTCCCGACTTCTCACTGCATGGTGGCCTTCACAGCTAAAACCCCTTCCTTCTTGCTTCACGCCTGAACCCTTGTCCCAGACCTGCCTATTCATTTTGACTTGTCACTCTGAGTCCTTCTGTCTCAGCCATTTTCTCCCCAGCAGCCCTTCTGTCAGTTCTGCTGTCGTCTGCTGCCTCTCTCTCTCTTCCTCTCGCACCACCCCCTCCCCTGTGATTCATCCAGCCTTCTGCCATCTCCATGCTGCACCCACGATCCTGTCTTCCAGGCCCTGGACCAGGCCTTGAGTCCCTGTGTGCGTCTCCTTCAGGAGCATCACTCGGCTCCTGGCATGAGACAGAGAGATACCTGAGACTGCTTTATTTTTAGCCCTCTGTAAAAGAACCTGGTGCTTTTCTTGCCAATCAAGTTAATGATAAACCTTTGGTGATGCATTTTTTAATCTCTTTAATTATTCACTCATCTTTGATGAATAGCACCCATCCTCCAAGATTGATGACTTCCAGGCCAGTGAAGCCTGGTGCTGCTTCCTTGGGTACCGCAGGTCTTGGCAGTCTCAGGAGGTTGAGTTCTGAGTGGACTCTAAGCTAGTGCGTTCCCCTGTTTGGGTCTCTGAGGCCCTCCACCTAGCACATCCTGCCCAGAGCATGGCTGAACAGTGATGTCCGGGAATTTGGTTACCCAGCCAAGGATAATAGGGTCTGTCCAAGGCCAGGAATGTCCTTGGGGAGCCACAGACAGGCTAAGCTGGTAGCCACACTGATCTTAGCTCCCTCATACTCTCCTTCATCTATGCACAATTCTGGGCCAGGCATTTAGTGCCTATGGCCTGATCAGAGACTAGGAGGAGACCATAGGGACTGGCACACTGGGAACTCAGTGCTCCACAGGGAGCATCAGAGGCTGGTGTCAGGTTTTCTGCCATACATAGCTCAACGGTAAACTAATCTCAATACTTAGTATTTAGAGGTGCTGGGTTCAGTCCTCAGGGCTGCATTAAAAAAAAAAAAAAATCAAAGCGCCATGATGTGGAAAGAGTGGCCAGAGCTAACTGCAACTCCCAGGCTAGGGCTTGAATGGAGCATGTGCCACAGGACTAGGAGGAAGAATCCTATCACTTCCTTTGCTGCAGGGCCTTGGGAGGCTAGAAGAGGGAAAGAAAAGCTGTGGAGTCTGCTGAGCTAATGCTCTGCTGGACACGTCTCATACCTCAGCCTCACAGCCATCCCAGGAGGGATGTAACAGGATGTAACAGGAAATGCAGCCCAGGGAAGTGTTTCCACCTTGCCTGGGGGCAATGGCAGAGCTGGGATATACACTCACACCCAACCACAGAGCCCAAACTCTTATGCCTGTGAGTAAGTAGGAGAGGTATTTCTCCATCCGTCCCATGTAAGATTATTTTTCCCCAGCATCGCATAACAGTCACAGAAGGGCCTGGTCCATGCCAGGTCTGTAGCTAATGAGTTTTCTATAACAGGGCCAGGCCTTCCTAACCCTCCTCCCTCTGCCTACTACTATGTTCTCTTCCAACCTTCTGTTCTGGTTACCTAGTCACTGCCTCTATACCCCCTAGAGGCAGGAGGCTGAGAGTTTGGCAAAGGAAGAGATGGGCATTTCAACAGGAAGTGGAACTATATGTAGAGGGTGCCACTCGCTGAAGAGTAGGGAGATGCCTCATGCCTTCTGTGGAACTGAGCCAGGTTGGAATGCCAGAAGTCTAGAGGTAGGAAGGAGATGATAGGCTGGACACTGCTATACCCTGAATATACATTGTGAAAAGAGGTTGACCTTAACCTTGGATGGGCTGTATCAGGCCCCTCACTTAACCAGTGTGGCCTTAGCAGTCTTTGTGAGCTTAGCACCCTGTACTAACCAGATCTGCAATGCTCAACCTCTTAGGATGGGAAGGTGCATTTGATAACCCATCTGAGGTAAGGCATATGCTTAACCTAAATAGGGAAACTGAATTCCAGAGACAAAAGCCTCAGGGACAAGGGACCCAGCTCTTTCAAATTCACAAACATGATACTGCTTTCTACGACACCCCAACAGATCCTAAGTGGCATGATCCTGTCATTCAAATAGTGGGTAGAAGCTGGTGTAGGGAGTGCAGGGTCACCTGGCAGGTCATGTGGGACAACTAAAGGAGCTGCTGTAGATACGAGGGCAGCTCAGCCTCCATTGAAGAAGCTTTTACATTGGTGTCTGGCCAGAATTTCTTTCAATCCTTAATGCTTGTGGAAAGTTTCCAGATCCTGCCAAGGGTTCACAGGCCTTGAGAGTTTGCTGAGCTTACTGACTTCTGTGGCTGAGCAGCAGATGGGTGGAGATGCTCAAGTGGACTTGGATAGAGAACAGCATTCAAGGTGATCTTGTGATCTATCCTGAGCCATGTTGTGCTCAGAATTGTATCTCCAACAGAGATGATCACATTCTTCCCTGGACCAAGCTATAACAGGAGTCCATCCTGGCAAGCAGGGCAAGATGTGTGGCCTTGTGGGGGTATGATAGCAAGCTCATTGAGCCCAGACCCTGTTGGTACTTGAAGACAATATCATGGCCACAGGTGCCAACCACCGGTGCCCTCAGTGGCCAGTTCTGGAAAGGTGTTAAAGTCCTACCCTATAAGTTAACATGAGCAGTGAATGTACCCCTTCCCACTGTTCTTGCCCACCCTCCCCCAGGCTGGCCTACACGACTCTCAAAGCAGTATGTGTGCTTCCTAGACCCTCCATTAGTGGTTTTTGTGACTCTGTGTAATCTGGTTTCATCCTCCAATCCTACTGTAGAAACAGGCTTAATAATTATTGAGTTGAAAAGCAAAAATTACAAATACCAAGACCAGCATCTAGCTAGGCCCCACACTACCCACATTAGAGGGCACGCTCCCCCTTTCCTGCCTCTCATCTCTGCTGCTTCCCTGCCTTTGGTCACACTGCACATCTTCCCTCTTCATTGCCTTCCCTTGAGTGGGAGTCTACTGATCTCCATTAACAAAGCTCTGGGAAGGGGCTTCTACACATGCAGACAGCCTCTCCCTAAGGTGTCCACTCCTCCCATTAGAAGTGCTTCCCACTGTCTGCCCAAGTCCCTTGCCAGGCTGTCTGAGGGATGTTTTATTGTAGCACCTTGCTCCCTGTACAACCCTGGGCTCACTTGAGTTGAGCCACACTACTTCATAGCTGGCACCTGGCACCAAGTTTAGGGGAAAATCCCTAAGCTGGCGGTCTCTTTGGCAGATCTCCAGTGCCATGGAACAGCTGCAGGAGGTCCTGACAGTGTGCAGGGATGATGTCAATGCTCTCCATTTGCTAGCACTGCTCTTCTCTGCCCAGAAGCACTACCAGCATGCCCTAGATGTCATCAACATGGCCATTGCTGAGTACCCCGAGAACTTCAAGTGAGTTTCCTAGGGACATTGCTGGGTGGAGGGTTGTTGGCTACTGGATAGTTGCCTGTGTACACCTCAGCTTGTCACATTGCCAGCCTAGTACACAGAGAATAAGTGATCACTGGATGGATACTTCCTGGGTGGAGAGACAAGGTGGTTTGAGGTTGGCGAAGGGCTGTGGTAGTATACACCAAGAGTTCTGGGTGGGGAATGATGAGGCTGTGCTACTCCTGGGCATTCATCAGGGCTAGAGGCCCATGGGAGAGAATTGCTGGAATGCGTGTGTGTGGCACAGTCCTTTCACTCAGCGCTGTAGTCCTCTTGAGGGCACCCTTTAGCAAGGCATGTGACTTAATCATGACCTGGACACAGCCAGCCAGTGATGAAATTCTAAAGCTGGCTGTGTTGTTGGAGGCCAGCAGAACCCTCCCTCTGTCTTCAAGCAGGCCAGCTGGAAGCCGGGAGTATGGTTGGTTATCTTCCTCCAGGGTGGCCCTGTTCCTCCGTGTTTACTGCACCGGTCACATCTGCTTCTGGGAGCAGGATTCAAGTTGCATTGGGCCTAGGCAGCAGCAGGTAGAGCAGGAGCAGGTCTCCTCCTACCTACTGAAAGGACCTACTATCATTGAACTAAGTCACCAGGGAATGGGACCAGCTAAAGCAGAAAGCTGCATCATGGCTCTGTGGAAGTGATCTAGGGAGAAGTCATCTTTTTATGATCCCTGAGCCTTGCCCTGCTTACCCTTGTCCATACTGTCCCCTGCCTACAACCTAAAGCACCCCTACCCCAACTCCTGACCCTACCCAGTCCCCTGCCATCCTGCCCAGGTGAGTGCCAGCTGCTCACAGCCAGGTGCAAGCAGAGTTATGGCCCCCTTGATAGTCCGTCCTTATGTGGAAGGGATAACCCTGATTCTAAACCTTGATCCAGCTGTATTTTATTTTATAAAATAAAATATTCCTTGTCTCAGGAATCCCAGATACTATACAGCAATACCAGGTGATAACATTTTATTTGTTTTTAAAAATTACATTTATTGGAGCCAGAGAGATGGCTTAGTGGTTAAGAGCACTGGCTGCTCTTGAAGAGAACCTGGGTTCTGTTCACACCTACATGATGGCTAACAACTGTCCGTAACTCCATTTCCCTCTTGTGATCTCTGTGGGCATTGGATGACATGGGTACACTTACATACATGTAGATAATACACTCATACACATAAAATAAAAATGAAAATAACATTTATTTATTTATTTATGGGGGCGGTGCACACATGCCACAGTGCATGTGTGGAGGTTAGAGGACAACTTGAGGGAGTCAGTTCTCTCCTTCCACCAGGTGGGTCCCAGGGATCAAACTTAGATCATCAGACTTGGTAGCAAGCACTTTTATCTGCTGACCCCTCACAGGCCCTATTTATATATGGTGAAAAAAAACAAAAGGAAAGGCCTCCACTCCCTCCACTCCCAACACTAGCACCTTGCTTTTTCCAAGCTCTATCCCCATACCTGTCTGGTTCTGACTCACTGCTGTTGGCTTGCATGCTGGGGTGTGTGTGCGTCTATATGTCTTTATGTGCCTGTGCATATTTGTATTTACTCTGTCAGGCTAAATGGGAAGAGAAATGCTCAAGCAGAAAGGCTTAGTACCGTAGTGTAGAAAGGGAAGGGACTCCCCTCCCATGGTGGGTGGTAGGGTGCTGAGTAGCATCACACAAGAAACGAGATGTTGGGCGGGGTTCACTGTTAAACATTGTTTTAGTGGCAAGTCCTTTCTGAATAAGACCTTCTATGGAAATAGAAATGGGAACCCGAGAGGAGCAGAGCTATACTGATGGAGGTAAAGGGAGATTTGTGGCCTACCTAGTTGGTCCTGCTTTGTGCCCCTAGTCCCACAAAATAGAATAAGCATTCTATTCCTGAGTCTGGTGTTTCGCTGCTTGGAATCTTTTCATAGCTTCTGAGATGAATGGTCTACCAGTCCAGTGCACCTCCTGTTGCCTGCTACAGGAGGCTGACTCCCTCGTTAAAAATCTGATTGAACCCCAAACCATAGGAAATGCACCAGGGAACAGGGTCTGCCTCATTCTCCCCACTCTTCCTGTTCTGGGGCTGGTTGAACAGCCCCCTTCTCCCCCTCAAAGTGTAAGTGAGCCCTACTGCTCTACCCAACACACCCTCCGCCCCTTCCTCTCACCTCATCTGAGTGTCCTCATAGATGGATAGAAGAATCTTGGCCTTGAGCTTGATGTGCCCCCAACCCCTAGGAGGAGTCCCATGAGTGGTCTTGACCGAGAACTTTTTGTACATATGGACAGGGAGATGGCTTTCGTGTGCAGCCCAACCGTGCCCCCTCTTTGGAGCTTCCTCCTACACCCCACCTGATGCTTGCAAGGAGCTGCCTGGGATCGGTGGTTCTGTCTTCAGTCAGAAGCCTTAAGGGGGCAGCTTCTGCCATGAGAACCGCTTGCCTACAGAGACAACACACTGTAATGAGGGTTGTCAGGAGCCCTAGAGGCTGAGACCCTGTGTGCTCTTGTTCCCCGTCCCTAGTTTTGCTTCAGAGCACTCGGAGATGAGTATGCCTTGCCCTGAGTAGCATCCCCCACCCAGTCTGCTTAATTAGGGGTCAGTATAGAAAGGAAAATAATTCTTTTTTTTTTGTCTTTTTGAGACAGGGTTTCCCTGTAGCCCCAGCTGTCCTGGAACTCACTATGTAGACCAGGCTGGCCTTGAACTCACAGAGATCTGCTTGCCTCTGCCTCCCAAGTACTGGGACCACAGGCATGTGCCACCACGCCCAGCAGAAAATAATTCTTTAACATGGGCCCATCAGTTCCCAGACTCAGGAGCTACAAAACCAACCGGAAAAAAATACAGAACATTCAGGCCTCCAGAATGTGAGAAAATAAATCTGTCTCATAGCCAAGTCCATACACACACACACACACACACACACACACACACACACACACACAAGCTCTATTGAGTGACCATAGGGTAGGACCAAGTCCCTTTGCAAATAAGTCAATACCATTCCCCACAGATGAAACCCTAGAGTACAGAAACCCATGGATTAGCAGGAAATGTTATTGAATCCATTACGGGTCAGGGATCACTGAAAAATGTCATTGCTCTTCGATTGACACTATGTCCTGCTTCTCCAGCTGCTCCCTGTGCTGGGAACAAGCTGCATGTGGCTCCAGCTGTTGCCAAGACAGTTAATTAAACAATCAGTCCAGTAAATATCACTCAGCAAAACAACACAAACCAAACTCCCTTGATCTGACCTCATTGTCCCTAACAAAGTCCATTCTCAGGGGACACTTATAGGCCCATGGTGTGGGTTTTCTCCCATCAAACACCTTGCAGTGGCTATCCTGGTGGCCAAGGCTTCTAGAGCTTTTCTTTTCTGCAAAGCAGTCAATGCAGTGGACCTGCCTCAGAGAAGGAAAAAGCTGGCAGGCCAGTGTAGGGGTACTTGTGTTGTCTGCCGGTGCTTGGGAGAGGCCTGAGCACAGGGGAGGAAGGTGATGGGTGACTAGATGCCCATTCATATGAGCTCATCCATGTGTGAGAGTCAGGTCCCTGCCTTGGAGTTACATGTGTCACTTTTAAAATCTTTTTAAGCCGGGTGTGGTGGTACACACCTTTAGTCCCAGCACTTGGGAGGCAGAAGTAGGAGGATCTCTGTGAGTTCAAGGCCAGCCTGGTCTATGGTACAGAGTGAGTTCCAGGTCAGCTGGGGCTACAGGAAAACCCTGTCTCAAAAAGACCAAAAAAAAAAGAAAAGAAAAACCTTTTTAAATTTACTTATTTTTATTTATGTGTATAAGTGTTTTGCCTGTGTATCTGTAAGGGCACCGTGTGTGTGCAATGCCTATGGAGGCCAGAAGAGGGCATCAGATCCCCTGGAACTGGAGTTATGGATGGTTGTTAACCACCATGTGGATGCTGAGAACTGAACCTGGGTCCTCTGCAAGAGTAGCCAGTGCTCTTAACTGCTGAGCCATATCTCCAGCCCCACATCTGTCACTTTTTATAGCAACTTTCTCCTCTTCAAAAAGGCAACATCTGCCCTGGCTCTTCTGCTTCTGAGATCTGCTGTGAGACAGACTAAAGGTCATGAGCTGATGAACAGTTGTGTCTAAGGTGGTATGTGGAGGGAATGCCACAGACATCACACTAGCACCTGGGAGTGTGTACAGTGGGCCAGGAGTTGAAGGAAGGAGGTAGAGGTGAGGCTGGGCCTGAGTTGAGTAGAGAAGTAGCTCTGCAGAGCACATCAGAAGCTCCTCAGGGGTCTCTTTTCCCACCCAGGCAACAGGCACCCATCTAGATACACAAATTAAAACCCAGCTTTCATGGAGTCCAGCTTCTTGAAAAGATATCTGATTCAGGGATTAGGAGGCAAAGCAGAGGGGATCTTGATTTCCATGCTGTGGGATGACCTTTAGTTAGTGGAGCTCAGGTTTAAAAAGGCAGAAACGTGATGAGGCAGAGACTGATGGCCCCTCGGGGACAGTATGAACCTGGTACTGGGAACTAGACACCCCGGACAGCTTCCTGAAATCCTGTGGGCTTCTGAGTAAGCCCTGGACACATGTGCTGGCTGGACTGGTTCTGGCCAGTAGGCTAGGAGGCCCAAGCCTGCAGAGGACCCGTGGGTTCCTTGTGGGGAAATGTGAGAAGGTGGGCAGGCCCAGAGATGTCTTTACTGTCCTTTTCTTCTCCACTGGGGTGGGAGAGGCAGCTGGGAAGCCTGACCAGAAGGGGCGGGGATATGGGGTCAAGGGGAATGGATCACTGATAAGTGTACTTCCTGAAGCCATGGACGCTGTTGGACGATGGTTTTAGGTAACAGATTCCTTGAGCTTTAGTCAGGCCCTTGTAGTGAAGGTCACCATAGCAACCAAACAAAGTTCCTAGGCTAATGGTGGGAGCCTTCCAATAACCAGGCTGTCAGTCATTGCTCCTGCCCAACCCTGGCAGTCTGCTAGACTGACTTT